CAGGGCTGGGGCGCAGGGCTGGACCGAGGTGTTGACAGACGAGCAGCCTGGGAGGGCCACATGGGCTCTCTCCTCACCACACTGTGCCCAGCCTGCACAGCGCCTCGGGAGTCGTGGCTTGTGTCCCCTGCACCCCCCCTTTAATGGGGACCTGCCCCCTCTGGCCAGTCTCCCCCAGCACGTGAAGCCTCTCAAACTTCACAGCTGCCTGCCCTGCCCACCCACCTGGAGGCCTGGCCCTCGGCTTCCACCCCACGTCATGCCCAGAGCCCCCAGACACTGGCCTGAGGAGCCAGGGGCCACCTGTCAGCTCCTTGGGCTTCCCCCACCCACTGCTGCATCCAGGGCACGGCACCTAACGTCGGGGTCACCTCTGCTGCCTCCTCTGAGTCTTGGTTCCCCCAACGCAGCACCTCCTTAGAGGTGTAGCCAGGGGTCAGCCAGGTGTAACCACACTCACTCCACACACACACACACACACACACACACACACGAGGCAGTGGCTTAAACCAACTCTCGCTTATTCCCTGACAGTTCCGGGTGTCGCAGGGCTGCACTCCTCCTGGGGCTCTTTCAGGACAGATCATGTCCTGGCTTTCTTCAGCTTCCGAGGCCCCCTGCGCTCCTTGGTTGGTGGCCCTGCATCACTCTGACCTCTGCTTCCATCCCGCCGTCTTCTCTCTCAGACTCTGACCTTCCCGCCTCCCTCTTGTAAGGACCCTCGCGATTACATCGAACTGAACGGTGTAACCCGGGACCCTCTTCCCATCGCGAGAGGGGTAACTTGATCATGTCTATAGAGTCCCTACAAGTTCTGGGGATCAGCAGGGGCTCCTGCAGGAGGCTTTATTCAGCTACCACACCACATAATGCAGAGCAACCCACCCGCGGGCCTGTGTCTTGTCGGGTCACCTCATTCTGTCCCCTGAAGGTCACAGTGCCATCCTCACTCTTCACTGAGGTCCAGACAGCGCGTGGGGAGCTGCCGAGGGTCTGGAGAGCAGGCTCCAGCCCCAGCAACACTTCTTACTCAGGCCTTCGTGCCTGGCCGTCAGTTTCCTCACCGGGACACGAAGACAACACCCCTCCTACCCCTTTCCAGCCCCTGGACTGTAAGGATGGCAAGGACAGTGAATGAGGGGGTCCGAGCAGTGGGTGGACAGCACGGGACCGCTCTCCCTGGGTGACGTCGAGGCAGGAGAGAGCCGGTGTCTGGTCACCTTCCTGCAGGGTCACCCCAGTGTCTGCCCAGCACTGGGCAGTCTGACTGCATTGCTCCAACGCTGCATTGCTGGCCGTTGTGCCCCTCGGGAAGCAGGGGACGGGGCAGATGGCTAAGGTCCGGGGTTCAGGGAACGATCTCATCTGGTAATTTTTAAAATTGAAAATTTCGGTAGCTTAGGCGCGAAGGACCATTGAGAGAACAGGTGATTCATGCAAACCGGACAGGGCCCAGGGAGATCCCCAGGAGGTCCCAGGGTGGAGAAATCTGAGCATGAAGGTAGACTGGGAGACCGCGTATGGATCAGGGCTTCAGCCGGGGCCTGATGGCCGCATCTGCGGAGGGCTGATTTAGGCAGATGGGGAAAGGCCTGGAGTGCCTGGGAAGGGAGCTAGCAGGAAGGCAGGGCTAGCCCATGAGCGCCCCTAGCCCTGGGGCAGGTGGCAGCAGGAGGGGCTGGTGGTCCATGGCCCAGACTGGCCCTGCTCTGCCTTGGGGCTGGCTGGTGACCAGGCCGAGAATCAGGGCACTACATGGGACCCGAGAGGGAGGGGGTCGCGACCCCGCTCCTGCCTGCCAGGAGGCCCACGCTTGGAAGGACTAGCTTCTGGGGATTCAGGATTTGACAAGACAGATGGCACAGCTACACACATCCCCACTGCGGCGGGGCAGGGGCACGAGAGGGCGTCCAGGGCGGCCCGGGTCGGAGGGCTGCAGCTGGCCGCCGGGGTTGGGGGGATGGACGTTGGCGACAGCACGCGCCTGCTCACTCCCGGCCGCGGGGCGTGTAGGGCGCCCGCTCCACGTTGGGTGGCAGCACGAGGGGTCGTCTCATTAACCAGAGCCTTTTCGCGCGGCAGCTGAGAGGCGCGGGGGTGACGGGTCCCGCCCTGGCCGCGTACAGCCGGATGCTCCGTTCCCTACGCGCACAGAACTTCGCCGGCGCGGGGGCGGGACCTGGCGCTGCCACGCCCCGCGCGGCGCCGGCGCACTGACGCCAGGGCGGCAGGCGACGGAAGCTGAACAGTCGCGCGTCGTTGCCGGGCAACTGTCCAGCGCAGGCCGAGGAGACCCCCCCCGCCGCCTGCTGCGCCCGCGGGCGGAGGCGAAGACTTGGCCGAGGTGGGTGCGGGCCGAGCCGGACGCCGGGGCCCCAGCGCGCCCCAAGTCCGCCCCTCGGGAGCCTAGGCCAGGCCCGATCGTGGTCCTCAGCGGCCGCCTCGGCCCCCCGCCCGCCCCGCGAGGGGACTACCCGAGCCCCCGACCCAACTCTCGGGGACCCCCGGGGCGCCGCCCTCCCGCGGGCGCCCGGACTCTCCCCGGCTCTGCCAGACTGGGCCTCGCAGACCCCTGCCCACGGCAGCCGAGGCAGGACCCCGCGGTTCGTCCACCCTCCCAGGCAGCGCTGACCCCCAGCACCTGGTTGGTCTCTAGGACACGCCCCTGTGCTGGACCGCTCGCCCAGACGCGTGGAGGAAGCCGGGCAGCGGCTCCGGTCACTTTTGCCTGGGTGACCAGGCTGTGTATGCGGTCTGTGTCTGTTCCGCAGCGACAGTGGACCCACACCAGCCCATCCGTACTCCCGAGGGGGCCGCGGGCAGCTGCTGGGCAGTGGGCGAGCAGGCAACCCCGTCGGGCCCTGTCCAGCCCCGGGCAGCTCCCGCACAGCAGTGTGGATGTCTCCTGAGCATCTTCCCATCGCGTCTATGCGGGCTTGGCGGCACCAACATGCAAGGCCAGCGGGAGCTGGGGGGAGCACCTGGCCACGTGCCCCCTCTCTGCGCGTTTCTGAGTGACCTCGCAGAGCAAGCAGGCGGGGTTTCCTTCTGCCGCGTTTCTAAAGACGGCGGTGCAGACTCGGCACCTGGGACACAGGGCAGTGACGCTGTGGGGTGGGCGAGTCCCCGCTCCCTCCTTCCCCCGCCCGATGGGGATGGGGAAGCCAGGATCTCTGGGCGCAGCGGAGAGGGCTTGTCTGCCTCCGCCAGGGGTCCAGACCTAGGGGAACACAGCGGTGCCTGGGGAGAGTTTGAAGGCTTTCGGGAATCCTCAGCCAGGTCTGAACAGTTCTCTCAGTCCTCTGAGCTCCCGGAGAGGCCCACAGAACCTCAGCCGCCGAGAACCATTTCTGCCCAAAAGGAGCCTGGTTCTCGCCAGTCTCACCAGGGTGGACCTGGGGTGACAGGAAACAGCGCCATCACACCTTCTGAGGTATTTCTAAAGTATTCGTCTTTGCCATGTTGCACAGGAAGTGTTTCCTGTGCTTTGGGGGGCTGGCCAGGGAGGGGGTCTGCTTCTCTCCCGGCTTCATCCCACCCGCACCTTCCTTTCCCTCCACCTTCCTGAGGGGAGCGTCTGCCCACTCTCCATCAACGAGGCAGTGTTCTCCTGGCCCCAGTTTAGGGCAAGTGGTGAAAGTGCATTTCTTTCATCTGAGTTGTCAATCTACTTATTTAGAAAACCTCACCAAGAGTCACATTTCAGTGTGCATGCACTGACCAGGCACTGGAGGTGGGCTGGAGAGCCCAGGACTTGCCCTCTTGCTCCGTCCACCCTTCCTGCCCTGACCTCCAGGGTTTCCCTTTAGTGTGACTGCCTCTCATCCTCCTCTTTCTCTGCCTTCTCTTCCCAAATGGTTTACCCCAAACACCAAAAGTGAAACAGAAGGGAGGAAAGGATTTGCTGGTTCTAAGGATGGTCTGTTTGTTTTCTAAACCAGGACCTCTGACAAGATCCACTCTTCGTACATACAGTTAGCTCTGCTTTAATGCTTGTTTTGAAGACAGGACTGTCTTCCAATGCGATTACTGTATCGGGGAACAATTGAAGCATAATGTGAACTTTGCAGGAAACCCCAGGTGAATGCAGAAAACCACACCTGCTGAA